AAGAAAAATATTTAGGACTGATGAAAATGACTCGAGAGTTTAGGAAAATGTTACAAAAAAACAGCCAGCACGTAATGTAGCCAATATCTTTTGTCAGGACATGTGACATGAGCAAACATTGTGAATAAGTACTTCGACTTGTACAGTGTCCCTGGAAATTAGCAATGAATAGTATGCAGATTGGAAAAGAATATAACGTGGACAAGTGCAACAGTTACGGTGTTCCATGTATTTATTTTCAACTTCCCCAAATCCTGATGCAGACACGTACGGTAAGGCAGGCCTCCACACATTTGAACCAGTACAAGCTGGGAATAGGTGCATAAGAGAAAGAAAATTGCTATACCAAACATTTTGTGTGGATCTGTTGTGTTCATATACATGTAGCTGTCTTGGTCTTGTACTGTAGTGAGAGCTTTCCATCTTATGTGCACATTGTAAAAGCCCCTAAAACAACAAAAGTTAACACAGCTAAGAGAACTGAAACTTTATAGTATTTGTACTGTGATTGTAACAGTGGAGTACATGTATTTCTCTTCATCCACATTTTCATTTTGGAAATCTGAAATCAAAAAACTTTAAAATTGGTCAGAAAAACCTGTGCTTTATTGAAGGTTTCATTTTTTGGAATAAGGTAAGATTTCTGTTCTGTAGATGTACACTATGTTTTTTATCCTCCGAGAAAGGTAATTTTTGCTTGCGTTCAGAATTTTTTGTTTCTTTCTGTCCTTTTTTTTGTTTTCTTTTTTAATTTTTTCCTTTTCACTCCAACTTGCTCACTCACTCGCCCACCACCCAACCCGCCAAAATTTTTTTTGAAGTAGTTATCAGCACCTCACAGCATTCGCGGTTGCCAGATGCTGTCAACAGCAAAAGTAGGGCTTTGCTGGCAGAATTGAGCATGTCCAGTGACCTCTTCCACTACTCAAATTCAAATTTGACCTGCATGGCTAATGAGGGCTGTCAAGCTGCTTGCAGATAATGCTTGAGCAATGCCCTTGCTTCTGGTCTATGGCTTGTTATGTAATAAGACCCAGCTAGGACTTCAATAGTGAAAAAGCAGCATCCAAAAAACCAGCACATTTCTATTTCATGGCGGAAGGAAAAAGACATGTACGTGTATCCCAATATGTACCTGGTGTTTGATCTGAAGTGAGCAGATAGAAAAGCTTGAACACTGACAAATTGCCTTCCTGGTTTGTATATTTACCATCTGGATTTATGGGAAACTGCCAAATTACATGCATTTCAAACATAAATCTTTAATAGAGTTACTTGTATATATGTTGTGTCTTTATAATGAAAGTAAAAACATTCTAAATTGTGTTGGCAAGGTTTACAGTTGATTGTGATTGCATACTGCATTCTCAAAACATGTATACATGTAATTCCTTTCGTTTTCTGATTGCTTTTTAAAACTCCAGGAGTACCTAGCAAAGCAGTCTACCCTCATCATGCGGCCATCGATGGAGGTCTGGGAACCAGATGAGGTCAGCATGCACCTGCTCCACTTCGCTGCCCGTGCTGGTGGCCATTAGGGAACACAGCGCAGGTTGGTGGGCTGCATCAATGTTACATTGGTTGTACTTGTGACCGGCGGAGCAATGAATTCAGGAAGGTCAGAAAGGGGTGAGTCGTTATCAAGTCATTTTCTTCGTTTCAAGAATGTTTCATGTCACTTCATACATGTACATATAGATGCAAGGATCCATTTGAATGTTGGTTATTTTCAAAAGCACCACCAAAAAAGCCGCAGCAACAATTCCAAAAAGAAAAAGAGGGAAATTTGTCAGTTTCTGTTGTCAGTTTCTACCATTTTTTGGAATCTTTGCGCTGTGTGTGGATCTTTGCTGCTTTTTATATAATGTAAACCATCCAAAAATTCAGCAGTAGAAAAACACAATATAAAGAACACAAGGCGCTGCATAAAATTGTCTGTTTTGGTCAATTTATTCACATTTTTAAACCCGGGACTGCAGCATGTTCATGTGTGATTTGTGGTTATCAGATCTCAGGTTTTTTAGGTCAGTTGAACGTTAAGTTTTACATCATAGCAAAGTCACAAGTCAAACTTTATGTTGGTGTGTTTTTACTTCAAGCGTTTAGAGTAGAGAGATAACATTGAACTTCAAGGAATACAGTTAGCTGTACAGTTCAGAAGGTACTGAAGTTCCTCTGATCAATGCTTTTTGTTGATGTCCTATTTTCATAGTCAATATTATCTTTTAAGGCTTAACATTCAACAATTTACTTTGTCAAAAGTCAACCAAGACATCAGCGATTAACTCGTCACTCAAATCGTGTTTTTCAGTACTGGTACATGTATCACCAAGGTTTTTAATAAAAATGATTGACAGCCGATAAATGCAATAAGTTACAATTACGTGTGCAAGAGTTTGAGAGCCCTGAACAGTTAATTTCATTCAAGCTAACTGTTTTTGAAATCCTTCTACTCTGACAAGTTCCAAATCTGCAACTTTTAAAAAGTCAGCGCAACTAACTGGAAGCAAATTACCATCACTAATTTTTGTAATTATTTTTTTACTTGATGTTTGCTTATTACTGGAGATACTTCTGGCTACTTATTTAAATTCTTACACCCAATTTTTTGAATGATTTGGACAATATAATGTTGCCCAACATTAGGGCCTCTACAAAATCCAATGACCGGAGGAAATGGAACTGTACAGAGAATTGTATTTCTTGAAGTTCAACATTATCTGTTTACGCTAAACACTTCACATAAAGACACAAAAATAAGGCTTGACTTTTAACTTTGTTGTGGTATGAAACATGACTTGGAACTGACCCAAAAGACCTGATATTTGACCTCCACAGTGACATAAAACTTTCTTGAGACTTGAAGAAATTGACAAGATAACGACTGTTCCCTTTTTTGTCTTCCTTAATTCATTGTTCCTCCTGTTGCAAGTACCACCAGTGCAACATTGATGCTCCACCAACTTGGGTCGCACTGGGCAGGGTGCGGGGAGGGTCGCGGGGGGTGGGGTTGGGTCGCGCGGGGATGGGTTGGGGGGGCGGGGGTGGGTCGCGCGGGGCTGGGTTGGGTCGCGCGGGGCTGGGGTTGGGTCGCGCGGGGATGGGGTGGGTCGCGCGGGGATGGGGTTGGGTCACGCGGGGCGGGATGAAATACACATAAGAAAAAATTACCAAGGCAGCATTTTTTGTTTGTCACTGTTTTATTTCTGTATATATTTGAGCTGTTTCCAACAAACTTTTCAGCACCCCCCTTCCCAACCTACCCACCCTAACCCTCCCCTACCCCTCCCAA